CCCGGATTAACCCCAAAACCGACACACTACACAGAACGATCTGGAGGAGTTCTATTCCATGATCGAGTTCGTCAATCCTGGGATTCTAGGTACCCAAGGATTTCTCTGAGCGCATATCGGAGACTCATACCAGACGTGAAGATCCTGACACAATGTGCGTGCACAAGGCGAGCGAGAGAAATTCAGGAAGGTGTTCGAGGAGCCGATCATGGCGGGCCGTCAGCCTGGAGCCACGGAGAAAGAAAAAGTACGTTACCCAGATCCGCATCACGATCTCAGTTGTGATTGATTCATGTACTCTCTTCATACTTCTCTGCCTTTGCAGGCTATCGGGGATGCCAGATCAAAGATGGTACGACGCTATTTGGTTGAGCGCGACACTCTAACAACAACGCTATCTCACTTCCTGCGTGTTCCTGCATTCAACAGCTGTCGAGCCTCACAAGCATCTTTATCCTGCGGCGAACAGCCGACATCTTGCGGAAGTATCTGCCACCAAAAGGTACAGCGATCATGGCTTCGCACCTCTCCCGAGCTCTCTACATGTTCATGACGCAAACGACACACCCCACACACACACACACACGTGCAGTGGAGTACACAGTGTTCTGCCGACTGGCGCCACTGCAGAAGGCTATCTACCGAGCCATCGTTCGCGAGAAGATGAAGGTCGCCCTTGAGACTGGGCGACGCGATGACGCTTTGTCCTCCATCACCATGCTGAAGAAGCTTTGCAACCATCCCTCCCTCGTGTACAGCATGTGCCAGGTATGCACCTCCCCCTCACCCAGGAAGTACACTCGTGGATGCAATTTTGTGTATGATTTTAATAAGGGTTGCCCTTCGTTGGTGCCCGCACACGTTCCACTGCGCGCAGAAAAACCCAGAGGCGAACAAAGCCACCCTCGAGGCCTTCCCAGCTAAGTTTCAGGCGTTGGAGAGCAATCCCCAGCTATCTGGTACGTGGGGATCGGCCTCTGCCCTCGTCCTTCGGGATCAGTGATCACTGGAAAACGACTGCGATAAATCTGATTCTTTTGCGTGGCAGGCAAGTTCCTTTTACTCGACAGCTTGCTGAAGGAGATCAGGAAACGAACCAAAGATCGCATCGTCATCGTCTCCAATTACACGCAGATATCCTTTTCAGCCTCCCCTCCAAGTGGTTTTTTTTTCTACTATTATTCTTGCTTTCGCCGCTCTTGATGTTCGTTCTGTGTTCCTTAACATGCCGCACACGCTCAAGGTGATCGCGCACCTCTGCCGATTCCGGTACCACCTTTTACTCGATCCATGGATCCCCTGTGCTTTCTTTCCTACGCCTGATCTTCTCCTTCGGAATGTCGGTGCAGGTCGTGGGGCTACTTCCAGTTGGATGGTGGCACTCCAGTCAAGCAAAGGCAGAACCTGGTGGACCAGTTCAACAATCCTTTCGCTACCGAATGTACCGTTACTTCCTTCGCAACAACGCTGTGTGTGATGCCATCTCGTGGGCATGCGTGCTTAACCTTCTACACCTTGCTTCTGTGTGTGCAGTCATCTTCCTACTTTCGAGTAAGGCCGGCGGAGTGGGCCTCAACCTGATCGGAGCGAACCGGCTCATCCTCTTTGATCCCGATTGGTATAGCGAGATAACCACGATTCCTTTCTCTGAATCGCAAGAGCCGGACTACTGCAGTTTGATTAGCTCATACTAACGTGTCTTCCCCTTTACTTGTAAACCCAGGAACCCGGCCAACGATCTCCAGGCCATGGCCAGGTACAACATTGCCGTTTCTGGTTGTCTCTCTTGTTTGCCTCCTCATCCCTTGAGTTGCTACAGAGTCCATCGAGATGGTCAAAAGAAAAAGGTCTTTGTGTACCGATTCCTGGCCACCGGGACGATAGAAGGTGCGCATCCCGCTGCCACCGCCGACACATACACCGCGCGTGGGTGTCTGACGTTGTTGTTTTCGGCGAGAGCAGAAAAAATCTACCAGAGGCAGATCACCAAGCAGGGCCTGTCCAGCAGCGTCGTCGATGCCAAAACCGAAACCAAAACACAATTCACGCTGGATGACCTCAGGGTAGCCTCGTTACCCCACTTCCTACCTACCTTGGGGACCCATCTCTCACTGCTTCTTTATGCGCACATAGGACTTGTTCAAGTATCGGTCCAACACCCTCTGCGAAACGCACGATCTCCTCGATTGCAAGTGCTGCATCACCAAAGTCGAGAAGGAGGATGGAGAGGAGGTACGCGGGGTTTTTCTCGCCCTCCTTCACTACTGTGGCCTGTGGTGCCATGTGCGCGGTCAGCGGTATGCGTCGGAAAACTCATCGAAGGGCACCGGCGTGTTACCTTCTCGTGCAGGATGACGGCTTCATCGATGACGACGACGCGGACCAAATCGAGCCAGGCTACATCGTGCGGCGGGTAAAGAAGAAGGACTTTTCGGGAGAAGAGCTCGAGGGCTGGGACCACTACCCCTCCGTGGAGTATGTCCAGGTACTACCTAACTGCTACTCCTGCAGGGAGGAGGGTTTCCTCTTTGACCGTCAGACTTGTTCGCAGGACGAAATGCTGAAGCGCGCGGTGCAAGAGACGATCACATTCATCTTCGCCAAGGAAAATGAAGAACCAGGAGCCGCTGAAGCCACGGTTCCTGTGGAAGAGGAGGCCGTGGAGGAAGAGGATGAGGAGGAGGAGGAGGACGAAGAAGCAGCAGAGGAGGAGGAGGAAGAAGAAGAGTAAGGAGAGCTCTTCTTTGCGTGATATAACCGCTTCAAGCTGCTGCTTCTTGGGCGCGAGGACCCACCTTCCACGTGTATTGAAGACGGCCAAGATTACCTACGTATGTACAGACGTCTAAGTCCCTGTCCTGTTGTTGGCGCGTTGGGGTGTCAGTCTCTGCTGGCGGCGGACTTGATCATGGAGCCCAGGAAGCTGGCTGCCTTCTTCTGGGCGTCCTCGTTCTCGGCGAAGTCGCGCACCATCTTGCCCACCTTCTTCTGCACCGTCTTGTTGGTGGCCGCCGCTGACACTTTAGAGGCGATCTTCTCTTGCACTGCAAACGGCCGCCACGTCGTGGTACACGCAGTGAGCGAGGTGCATGCCAATCTGTCGCATGCGAGCGGCGTTATCTTCACGCGCACCTTTCGGGTTGCGGGCCATCTTGGCCAGGAAGGAATTGTCAGAGCTCTCCGCGATAGCGTCGCCCACCATGCTCTGTACGCCCTTGTCCCTTGCCAACTGTGCCAGCATATGTCCTCCCCTGTTGGTGTTGGGGCCCAAACACGCACGACGGCACAACATCCACGCACGCACGCATGCATCAGCATCAGCATCAGCAGCAGCTTGGGGTGTGGGCAGTAGGAAGCAGGGTGGGTTCGGAGGAGTGTACTTCTCTTGGATGGCCTCGTTTTCTGCAAGCTTGCCCACGCCATCGGTGAGCTTCTTGCGGGCGTAGTCTTTTGTAGGCGCGGCGTGCGTATCCGTGGAGGGCGGGAGTGAGCGACTAAGGGAAGGCTCATGGCGCGATGTCGGGGTCGTGGTCGTGGTGGAGACCTTGGCCTCAGATGAACCAGAACTGAAGCGGCTCCACCAGTACGTCACCTTCGGCTCTGGCTTACTGTCAGCAACGACGTGATCGTATGTGGTGGAGGAGGAGGTGGTGGTCGATGGCAGTTGCGGGTTGGAGGAGAAGGACGAGAAGGTGAGAGAAGTGGTTGTGTGCGCTGAGTCGTCGCTCATGCTTCGCGTGTGCTTTGTTGTTGTGCTGCTACTGGTGGCGGTGGTGGTGGAGAGCTCACGCGGCTTCGGCGGGACTTGGAGAACCTTTTCATCTTCGCATGCAAGAAGGGAATGAGAGGCGGGAGAGTCAAAAAAAGGCCAGTGCTGCTGCTGCTGAGAGTGAGGAGAGAGAGAGAGAGAGAAAAGGGGAAAGTGAAGAAAGAGCGAAGAAGGCGCCTTGTGGGGTACCTTTCGAGAAGGGGAAGCGAAGGCAAACTTTGTTGGATTTGATCCGCTCGAGGGAAGTGCCATTCTCTGTGGTGAAGAGCACGTTGTGGGGGAGCTCGCCCAGCCAGAACACCAGCTGGAGACGGCGCAAAAAACCCAAAAGTAAATAATGTATTATAGCCCCGAAACGTTTGATGAAAGCGAGAGGAGCTGAAGGGTGGTACACTTGTGGGTGTTGTGGGGGGGGGGTGAGGTGAGGGAAGGTTTATACCCGGCCGCATTCAGCGCCCTGCTGGTCTTCTTCGAAGAGGAGGATGCCGTTCGCAACGAGCACCGACGGGTTCCGCAATAGCTGCCACTCCCGCTCCACTCTGCCATCCATTACCTTTGTGTGCTTCAGAAGCCAAAAGGGGGTGGCGATCTGTTCTGCCGTACCCTCCGATCTTTTCGGCGACTTTTGTTTGTGCGTTCGCTGTGCGTTTCTCGCCAGATTTCCTATCCTTGCCAACTAAATTAATCCTCTTCTGCACACTCGAGAAAAGGGTGAGAGAAGAGAAGAGAAGAAAAGAAAACCTCATCATGTAGCACGGCATTCCCACCTACCAAAAGAGGTGTTGGACGCGACCCACGAAGGGGCACTTCTCCGTAGCGAAGAGCGATTTACACACACGTTCAAGGCCCCCTTGTCGAAACACCTGGCGATCTTCAGAAGCTTGAGATCGACGGGGTATGCTCCGACAGCAAGGCACCGAGCGCTATCGGAACTGCAACCACCTGTGAACCAACACAACAAACCAAGCTCATCCTGATAATCGTAGATATGAAACAGGCCCGGTATCCCGCCATATTGGTTCTGGTTCTCGCGTTCTGCTTCGCATGCGTCCCTGGCCAGTTCGTCGAAGACGTGTTCGGCGCGGAGGACATAAACTCACCTGATGAGGTAGCCCCCCAGATCCTGCCACGCTGCGAACTTCCGTCCTCCTGATTGCCAGTTCACAGTGGGACCACTCACTCACTCACACAAACTCACTCACTCACTCACTCACTCACTCACTCACTCACTCACTCACTCACTACGTCCGTGGTCGACACTCACAAACAAGGGAGCACATATTCGGGTGCCACGGAGGGATGAGTCCGACGTCCAGGTGTGGTCTTACGAGGGCAAAACCGGACCGGAGTACTGGGCCAGCCTCATTCCAGCAGCCTACCTGTGCCGATCCGGTATGCCCTCCATAATCTCCCTACCGGGGTGATGTGCTATTCGTCTCTCATGTGGGAACCACGTGATTAGGAACGCTTCAATCGCCCATCAACATAGAGACGAACAGCGTGCACCGGCAGTACCCGCGACCACCTTTAGTATTAGGCTGCTGTTGCGTCAGGCCCACGGTGAGGCTAACGGGGTGTTTGTGCTTGTGTGGGGGGGGGTCAACACACCAGATACATGGGCGAGCTCCAGTTCAACTACAGCTCCAACTCTCGGGGGGAGTTGTGGAACAACGGACATAGCATCCAATACCGGGTAGACAACTCCACGGGCCACAGCACCATGTGGTACGTACACCACACAACATCTCCGATTACTCCTCGGCTCCGAAAGGAGGGCGCTCCAATGACGCGCTGTGTTGCAGGGGTGGGCCAATGAAGTTGGAGAAGTACTTCCTCTTGCAAGTTCATCAGCACGCGCCCTCTGAGCACACGATCGACGGGAAGGTATGCATTCACATCTCCACCCTCTGCAAGGGTGGTATGACACACACACACACTCACCACAGAGCCACGCAGCGCTATCCGATGGAAATGCATTTCGTGCACCTCTCCAACGACACCACACCTCACTTGGCAGCCCTTTCCGTGCTCATCGAGGAGGGAGCCGCGTCCCCCTACCTCGACCAATACTTCCACCTGTTCGATTATGTACGACCCTCCGGCCTCGCCGCGCCCCCAGGCAGTAGTGCTAGCCCCTGTTAGTTACACTGCACCAATGCTGTGCTACCTTTTGTGCTAATGCTATTGAAATATCTATCACTTCAGACCGTATCCAAGTATGGCGAAAGGCACAAGCTTAATGCCATCGACCTGCAGCTCGCCTTTCCAGCCAACACTTCCTATTGGGTGCGTGGGGCTTTCCTACCCAAAGAGACTTACAAAAAGGTTAATAACCAGCATCTGTTGTGCGTAGACGTATAAGGGCTCCAGAACTTCTCCTGACTGTGAGGAAGGGTTCACCTGGCTGGTATTCAATCACCCCATGACCGCGTCTAGGCAGCAGATTGAACACTTCACTAACATCTACAACAAAACCAATCGGTGCCTCCCCATCCCTTGTATTGTAGTTCAGTGATCACCACCCCAACACTCATACAACTAACTCCACTGTTCTTCTTCCTCTCTCTGACACACAGACCAACACAACCCCTGCATTCAAGACTTGTCTACCAGCATGTGATGGGAACGCAGCCTCCATGCACAGTACATCCCC